GTACTTTTCTTAGAGGTTGGGGCATGCTGTCAGTCAAGAGTTGAAATTTAAACACACTTGTAAATTACAGCATGTGACAACTATCAATTATTTTTACCAATAGCTAACATATTTAACACTGTGGCAACGTGAGATTCCTCTAACAGATGACTTTGGAACACATATCCCCCAATGGGCTTTTAAAGCCTTCTTAGACAGCAGTTTGACATTCTTCTCCACTCTTTCTTCCCCTCTCCCTTTCTCCTTTCCTTCTCTCCTTCCCAGGTTGCCTGACTTGCAGTGAGTGAGGCCTGAAGGCGCTTCCCTCTTACTCTTGCTCCCTCTCCTTTATCCTTCTCAGGCCTTTTCTCCAATAAACTCTAGCACATCTACTCTCCTCTTAGCATCTGCTTCTCTGGGAATTTGAACAAAGAAACTGAGTGCTTGCTTATAAGTCCAGCCACCATCTATGCATCACTATTTAATCTTTACACAAGGCTTATGAACACATTACTATTTCCATTTTACAAATAAGGAAACAAACATTAAGAGCAGAAAAGTCACTTTCCCAGAGTCACACAACTAGAGACAGGCATGCGATTTGAACTGTTTGGCTTCACAAGAGCCCCGGACCTTATTTTATTAAATAGGCTCCACACTGGGTGTGGAGCCCAATTCAGGGCTTACACTCAATGACCCCAAGATCAAGTCCTGAGCTGAGATCAAGAGTCAGATGCTTAATTCACAGAGCCATCCAGGTGCCCCCCATCGCAGTTATTGGAAAGCAATTAGATTACATTAAGCCTCAGCAAAACTAGACAAATCCCTAGTAACATTTTTCCTGATGCCTATGTGCTTTCACACACTATTACACTTCATCCTAACAAATTTATAAAGCTGATATGCCACTTGACAGATGAACAAATTGGGGCTCAAAGAATGTAATTAACTCCTTCCAGATCATATGTAAGCTCATGACTTTGAGCTCAATACCAGGTTTTCTTTGAATTCAGCTGCTTTACATTATACTGCTTTGTCTAATTAATCAAAATGACAATGTCTTTTGTCCGTTTAGTTTTAGCTAATTTTCTTGAGAATACTGAGCAAAGAATCCACCAAATGATCTAAAGAGCTATATATGTTTCATATACATATACAGTATAGATACTCCGCTAGCAACTTAAATTATTTCCTGACCACCTATCTCAGCTACTTGTACTTTAACCAAAGTTTACAGGAAACTAGTTTCAAAAACCTATCTCCAATAACATACCAGTGGTTGAGGCTGGGAGGCAGTGTTCTCTTCACACCTGACTCAACTGCAATCTTTTGAGTGCATTTTCCTGAACCAGAGTCACACCTGATGAAGGGAGTCAGAAATTTGCTGAATCACTTCTAATGATTAACCCCTGGTTGTTTTCCAGCCTCTAAAAGGGCACAGCCTAGCACATGACCTAGTTATGCACAGTAGGTCAGTCAGAGCCGGATGTCAAAGTAACTCAGTAGTGTATTCGAATATTGGAAGGTGGGTGATATGGGAGTATTTTGGTGTTGTTTTTGCTGTTTGTTGTTTTTCTGCAGGTGGAGCATGTGGTAGATTTTTCAGAAAGGGCAATACTAGGGATCTGGGCGCAAGCAGGTCAGGAAGAGAAGACCCAAGAATAACACCATCATGGAGGTCCTGGAGCCAGTTGTGGGAGGAGAGAGCTAAGGGGCCCCTACCCGATCCACAGGGTGACTTTAGATGGGAAAACTGAGGCCCACAGAGGGCCAGGTGCTTGATTAGAGTCACAGGGAGGGGCAAGGGCCATGGAGACAAGAGGTAGAAGACTCCACAGCCTAAGAGAATGCCCCCCCCCCCCAAGCCAGAGCCTCCAATGCCATGCCAGTGAGGTGTAGGGACTAACTGGCAGGTGCTGGGCTGTGGCTGGAGTAGAATCATGGGCAATTTTTCATTTCTTTTTCATCTTAGCTTTGTATAGTCTCATTTTTAACCTATAACACCTGGGAGTTAGATTAACTGATCTATAAGGTCCTTTCCGGCTATAAAATCCTAACTTTAGCAAACTTCTAAGTATTAATCTGAATATTTGAGAAATGATCCTCCGAGAAATCTATTTCCCTGAGTATACACCTAGTTAGTAGATGAGCCAGGATTAAAATCCAATTGGAGGCAGTATAGCAAAGTGGTTATGATAATGGGTCTGAAGCGAGCCATCACAACTCTGGCACTTAAGGACTATGGTAACATAGGACAATTTACAAAGCTCATCTTGGCTTCAGTTTTCTCATCTGTAAAATAAGGATAATAATACTTACCCTATAATTCTGTGAGAGTAAATGTAACACTGCATGGCAAAGAGTAAGCCATGGCAAAGACTAAGATAAATACTAGGTATTCTATTATCTCCTATCTCATTATCCAGTCTTCTTTGCAGGTGACCACACAGACTTTATGGATGAATGTGGAATGGACATTAAATTTTGCCATTAAAGTGAATAACAGTAAGTATACATTTATATGGTAAGATGCTTTATAAAAACGCATGTACAAATACTTCTCTACGGATAAATAACATTTTAAGAAGGAATCAGTCTTTCAATAAATGTTTATTGAGCCTCTACTATATGCCAGATACAGACACAGTGCTAAATGCTGGGTATGAGATAATGAACAAAAGAGATACAATCTCAATCTTCATAAGCACTGAAATTTGATTGAAAACAATATCCCTGTGAGATCTACCTGTGGGATATGCAAAGCAAATTATATTTGACATGATGGTGACAAATGTAAAAAAAATGCACATTAGTATGAGACTAACTGTACATCTATATCTGTTTCTATACAAGATATTTTTTATAATTAAGTTCTATGTTATTTATAATGGTCACTTCAATGAGATTCTTAATTCTCTGACAATTACGGAAATTAGGCTATTTCTATTTCTCTACATAAAGTAGAACACTGGAATAGATATGTTTAATTAAGGATACTCCCTTAAAATGTGCGATAAGCACCATCTGTCTGAGGGTTACATGAATGAAATATTACTGTTTTGCTAATAACCAGTAAATAACAATTCCTTAGAGGGCATCATGAAGTTCATTTTTAGTAAGTTTGTGCTCATTCACTCATTTCTTTTTCCTCCATACACATCATAAGCATGTGTATGTGTGCTCGCATGCGTGCAAAGCTGACTAAAGAGACGTCGGTATTCTGGACTTAAGAGTCACCTATATACTGATGGACTTGAGATTATTTATATTTGAGTGAGGATGATAAAATTGGCCAAGAATCAATCTAGAAAAGAAACTGAATTATTCGTATGTCAAAGTTACTCTATGGTGATGCCTTGAATACTTAACAGATTCCTTAATGCTAGATACATTGACCTAAGGAATCCCCTAATCCATTAACACATCCCTAAAAATCTCTTTAAAGTCAGGTTTGCTATCATTTGACTTTGAATGTGACCTATTACCTAGCCAAGCTTAGCTGAGTAAAAAGAATAATTCATGTTGGGGTTAGTTAGGAGTATAAAGCACAGTAAAAAGGGCGAAAGTTTGGAGTCCAGTCAACTGTGTTCAAATCTCAATTGTCATTTAATTAAATAATTTGTGAAGAGGTCTTTCAGTCTCAGTCACAATGTCTTTGAGTCTCAGCATAAAATATTTACAAACTAGGAGTAATAGGATTTTTCTTGTAGGACAGTAGTAACTTTAATATAAAAGTGCCTGGCAAACTGTATCTATTTGCTATTTGTGGTATGAGTGGTTGGCTGTATTAACATGAACACAAATCGAGAGCAAGAATACAAAAAAAAAAAGACCCACAAAACCCTGCCTCTCTAAAAAGCTAGCTGCAATACTGAAACAGGCAACTTCCCTTAAGTTACTTAGAGTCCTTTCAACTGGAGAAATAACAAAAGATCAAATAAATCTGATTAGAATATCCATGTGCTGTCCTAAATATGGTTGCATTGATCAAGGGGAACAAGGAAATTTGGCTGGTGCATCAGGGGCTTTCAACTGAACACATTCCATTTTCTTTTATGGTAGAGTAATTCTGAGAACTCTTTTGGGGGGAACTGGATGTTTCGGGGATCAAAATTAGCTGCCTTTTAGGGGGAAGAGTGATTTAAATACAAGGTGGTGAGGGAGACTGCACCTTACTACTTAACCGAGGAAACTGCATTACACAAGAGAGAAGTAGCCATGGTTCCCTACATCACAGTGTTCAAATCTTCAGTGGAAGGAACACCTTTTTTCTCACGTCATCCGTCCGGAGGAAGTAATTTATCTCTTTAAAACTATTGTGGTTACCTCTGACCTCTCAAATTCTCCTGAATCCTTCATTATGTAGGAAACCTAGAGCAGAGGATGAGCACCCGTCCTGAAAGCACATCTACTTCTGGGAGCTCAGGCTTCCAAAAGCTACAACGTGGATGGCAAGCCCCCCTCAGCCCGTGGTGGTCAGGGAAACAAAGCCCCCTTCTTACCCAATTCAAACAGCGGCGGAAACGTTTAATTTCTAAACCTGAACGACGCCCTCACCCCCACGTCTAAAACGTTAAGAGGTGCAACCTCGGGCAGTGGAAACGGTACCCAGGACAAGGATGGGAAAGTAGCTCTCGGGAATCAAGGGGGGACTCAGTCCTGCCAATAGGACGGTAACGACCCTCCTTGAATGTTGGGGGGGGGGGCGGGGGGAAAGTTCGGTGCTACAAGCCGCGGTATATATACATCGTCTTCGGCCTCGCTTGCAGACCCGAGGTCGAGCTCCGAGTTGGGGAGCGATCCTGCGGGGGGAGGAGGAGATAAGCCAGGATCCCAGGGCCTTTTGCAGCAGCAGCAGCAGCAGCAGCAGTCAAGCGCCCCAGGGCTCGATGCAGACTCCTCCCGCTCACTTCTGGGTCCCGCCAAGATGCTACATGGCGCCCCGACCGGCCAGAAACATCAAGCCCAGGAGGCAACGTTGAAATAAAAAAAAATAAAAAATAAATTAAAAAATCGCTTACCGGTGTCCCACGTCTGGCGCCGAAGTAGCAGGAGCCCGGGCCCTCCCGCCACAGCGCAGCCAGGCACCCGCTCAGACCACCCTGACGACGGCTCGGGAGCGTCACTGACAACCACCCGGAAGTGCTACCTCCGCTACCGGGGCAGCCTAGCGCGCGGCGGGAAATTATTTCCCGGAGCCCGGATTAGTGAGGCGGCGACCGCTGCGGCGGCAGTCATCTCCCCGGTCCCCACGGCCACCCGAGGGAAGCAGCCCAGGCTCGCCGGCAGGGAAGGTAAAGGGCCGCAGCTCGGAAGATGCAGTGTCCCCTGGCGCCCTGGGGACGTCGCTCCCCGCCCCCTCCACCCCGTGCCCCCAAAGTTTCTGCGGCTCCCGGCTGTGAGGTTGGGAGGGGGCCGGGGTTGAGCGCCCGCGGTGCCCGCTGCTCCTGCGTCCTTCCGCGGCCACCGGCCGGGCCCCGCCGAGCTGTGCGGCCGCAGCCCCCGCCCCGCTGCGCCCTGGCCGCCGCCGGCACCGCCGCCGAGCGCGTCTGCAGCGCGGGCTGCGGCGGCTGCCCCCGCCTCCCGTTGGCGCAGCTCGGCGGCTCGGTCCCCCGCCAGGAAGGCGCTAGGCCGCCCGCGTCTCCCGTTTCCATAGAACCCGCTGGGACGCCTCTCGCGGGAGTCTCTTGGCTGCTTGACATGATGGAGAGTCGCTGCAGGTGGCCTGGATTCCCCCCCCCACACACACACACACCCCCGCCGCAGGCCCACCTACCAGTGACGGGGGGAAATGGGGTCAGTCTTGTCTCCCCGGTAGCACTTGTTAACAGACCCGAGCGGTCCGGATCCCTGCTCTGCGGCGGCTGCGTGCCTTTAAACCTACACACACACACTCTTCCCCTAAAAGGATGGACGCGCCCGGGGGTTGCACTGTCTCAGCTGCCTGAAGGCTGGGAACGAGCCTAGAGGATTATCCTGAGATCTCTTCCACTTCCAAAGTCTCTGGTTAATACTGAAAAAACAGAATTGATTTGTCACGGATGCTCCCTATCAGGATTTGACCTCGAAATTAGATGGAGCTTGTTTTTGGAAGCGACAAGTCCCCCCCCCTTTTTTTAGGGTTCTATCCCCCCACTCCTTGTTTTTTTTTCCTTTTTCCTTCCCCGTTGAGACCTTAGGAATGAAGATTTAAATTGACGGTGTACGGATGACGGAGTGCCTTGTGAACTTTTCGGTTTCTGTGGTTAAGTTATGCCTCAGTTCCTAGAAGTATGTGACGATGTGCAAGACGTTCCCGTTTCAGGGACGTTTTGCTTGTATCGCAGGTGTTCAGCACATACATTGAATGCCAGCGGTGGGTTTTTATATAAGGGGGTTAATCTGATTATGTCCAACTTAAAAGGGTTATTCTTAATTTAAATGGACTTGAATTAAATTCTTAATTTAAATGGACTTTAAATACTTGAATGTGGATGTTCTTGTGAAGACAGTTAGCCTTCGATAAATACAAATCCGCCCCTTTTTATATCTGTTTTCTAAATCCAGATCTCCCCCCCCCTTACTGACTTAGGTTCAGTTGGAGGATTGACTGTTTTCCTGCTTCCTTAAAGCAGAAAGCATAAGTCAGGTGAAAGCCTTTGAAACAGTGGAGAAATGTGGTTACCTTTCATAATCGAAATTCAAACGTTTTGTGATTTGAAATGAGTATCCACAGTTTTCACTAATGTCCAAAAGCAGTTGGGTTCTTTGGAAAACCAATCGTGTGACATTATTAATCAGACAGTGTTTTTCTGATTCATTATTCTAAGATAGGCTTTTCACTGCTTAAACAATTTTCAAAATGAACTGTTGCATGTAGACTGAATAATAAAACCTGAAGAAGGTGAGGAACCTGTTTCTCAGTAATACAACTATAATGGAATATTATGTAACCCTTGTAATCGACTCTCCATAAATATGCTAATGGAAGTGGTATGCTGCCCAATTTCTAACTTTCTAAGGACGTCTTACTGCCTAAAAGTAAAATATTCCTGAAACTTTTAAGTTGACTTAGTTTTTACTTTCTTTATATCGAAATTATATTTATGTATGCTGTTTTGTTTATTCTCGGTGAGGCTCATATGAATTAGTCTGGTGATTAATTCATACACAATCCATTTGGAGAGGAAAATGATGAAAATTTCCTTTTCCGTAAGGAAAACAAAATGGCACTCTTTAGTTTGTTCTTAAAAATGTTTTGAAATTTTAGACCTTGGTCTTATTTTTATAATTGTGCTTAAATATTTTCAGTAATACTCATCGTCTAGATATTTATCTCCTCAGCCTCCTAGTAGATTTCCTTTATAGCAGTGTATTTTTTTCTTGCTAAAAGGAGATTACTTTGTAAAATTATAATGTGGTTAAAAGTATTAGACTAAATTCTGAAATCTTTTTTTTTTAAAGGTTGTTTTTTTTTTTTTTTTTTTTTTTTTTAAATTTATGATAGTCACAGAGAGAGAGGGAGAGGCAGAGACACAGGCAGAGGGAGAAGCAGGCTCCATGCACCGGGAGCCCGACGTGGGATTCGATCCCGGGTCTCCAGGATCGCGCCCTGGGCCAAAGGCAGGCGCCAAACCGCTGCGCCACCCAGGGATCCCCTAAATTCTGAAATCTAAGTCAAAGTGGTATCGTAGAAAAGGCATATAACTTTTGCAGAAACAGGCAGATCTTTGCACTGAACCTTGATTTGGCCATTTTGCCAGCTGTGTATCCACGAGCTAGTTTCTTAAATGCTAAGATTCCCCAGTATCCTCATCTGTGTAGGAAGGGTAAACAACACTTACATTGTCCATGAGGAAATGAACTAACATGCAGTGGGTAGACCATAATAAGTCCTCAGTAAAAGTGAACTCCTGCTTGTTCACCTTACATGCCATGCTCCTACTAAGTAATTAAAGCAGGTTTGACTTTCATCCCCTATAGCTAACCAGCATAGACTGTCCATTCTTTGTTCCCTGAGTATTGTCTCTCTTGTCCATTTTGTTCCCTTAAGGGCCCCTTTATCCATAAAAGTAGTATCTCCAGTTCAGCCTGTTCGTTGTATGGTACTGGATGGATTGAACATCTCCGGAAGTCCTCTTAGTCTGTCATTTCTTCTTCACCGCAGTCACTTGGCTGCAACCTCTTCATTTCCTCCCTCTCTTCAGTCACCCTGAGCATAACTGCTTCCTTCCCAAATCATGCCAGTAAAGTAAAAGTGTCCCTCAGGTCTCACCACTGGGGATCTCAGTCACATAACTATACACATATGCACACACACATAAACACACATACTCCGTATCTGTAAAGGAGGAATCAGGAAATGGACACTACATCTTTAAGAAAAATTCCAAAGGCCAGCTGAATGAAATTAAGCCAAAGGCCTAATTTGGCTCCTAGGCCAAGAGGGTACAGAATTCCTAAACTCCACTTGATGTTCTAGCGTTCAGAGCCAAACGATAGTTTACTCAATATGAATACAGTGATTTGTATCACCGTATGTATGTATTTTGCAATATTGGTTAAAACAGAGATCCAGTGCTTTGACCTTTTTCACTTATTTACTTACCAGTTAAATGCTTTAGATAAGAGATACCATGAAAATCTTAAAATTATTAAAGCAGCAATATTGATTATATTCAAGTGTTGATATATCCTTTTGAGAATAGGCAATTTTCAAAGATTTTCTTTAGATTTAAAATCAGAATAGAAGTAGATTTAAAATAAAAATGTCTCACTAGAACAACATTAGAAGCCATTAGTTTTCAACCTGGTGGCCTTGAAATGCATATTCACCGGAATGGAAGAATGATCACAATATAATTTTAAATAAAAATTTAGATACAGAACTACATAGTAATCTCAATTTTGTTTTATATATGTATTTTTTTCACACATATATAAAACATTGAAGTCATACCTCTTTCTCTGCCCCCAGATGTAAACAGTGGATTACTGGGAGCAGGGATTAGAGGTGACTTTAATCTTCCTATATGCTTTGTAGTGTTTTTTAAATTTTCTATAATCATGGATTAATTAAAGTTAACTAGAAATTTTTTTGGGTAATCTTTAATTCTTAAATGCAAATAAACTTTTTAGTTTAATCCTTTGTTAGTTATTAGCATACTAATAGAGTGCATATTTTCCAAATTCTGATATCCTATGGCTGATCATAAAATCATTTGTAATGCGGAGTAGCATTTCCTGTCACAAACCTTGTTAAGTATCCTTGCCTCTGTTTTTTGGGGTCACTCTCTTTTAGTGAACTGTTAGACCCTGTTTTTTGTTTTTTTTTTTCTCCGTCCCGAACCAGACCTTCGCATTCATCTATATTCCTGCCTCTACTTTTCCCGGACTTCTCTTTTCAACATACTGTGTTTGTCCTATTCAAATATGTTCTAGCTGCGTATTATATTGTAAAAAATTCATAGGACCTAAAAAACTGGTACATAATAAAATGTTCTTAATTATGATGAGTGCTATAGGTTTATTTGCATTTCTAACTAGCACCAACTGCAGAGGAATTTCAGGCATCAGGGATAGGCCCATGTGGGAGATATTTTGGGAAAGTCCACACCACAGAGACAGTTGCTTTCTCTGCATAAATGCCAGCTCTGTTCACAGTCATTATCTCCTTAGTTGTGTGTATTATATGGTTCAAGGTAAGTAACTGGATATTTTTTTAATTACTACAACATTTAAAAAATTACTGCAAAAGCATTTTTTTTTATAACTGAGAATTTAGTATATATTTTTTCACTTTTTTTTTTGAATTTTTATTTATTTATGATAGTCACAGATTGAGAGAGAGAGGCAGAGACACAGGCAGAGGGAGAAGCAGGCTCCATGCACCGGGAGCCCGATGCGGGATTCGATCCTGGGTCTCTAGAATCGCGCCCTGGGCCAAAGGCAGGCGCCAAACCGCTGCGCCACCCAGGGATCCCTATTTTTTCACTTTTTGACAGTAAAGATAAAACCTTTAAATAAATGCTTTCTTTTTTTTTTTCTTTTGTTGGGTTAGGATAGTATGTTCTGATAAATGCCTGAAGGA